GGGTTCAACTGTTTGCGCATGTGTAACTGGCACATGCACCAACAGGTGATACAACCCAAAATGGCTGAGAGAGGACCTGCCTTCTCTTCTTTACTGTTGAAGACTAGATACGTTGGGCTTGGATTGGGCTTGTCTGGCTTCTTGGCCGGCGCCAGGCACAGGGAGTACTTGCTCTCTGTCTTGCCGTCCCCTTCATCATCTGAGTTCTGTGACTGGTCCACCTCCTCCACCGATGCCTCGCCAATGTCGATGGTGCCGATGGGAACCTTGTGATAAATTAAAAATGATCCAAACAATATGAGTCTCTGGACCTATTTGATCGGATTCCCTGTTAAGTTGGCTGGAGTACTTTTGAGAAGTTTCCTCCGCTGGTAAGGGAATTTCAACTCTAAACGTACCACTAAATCAACCGAGAAGTAAACCTGACTCTTGGTACACAGAGAAAAAAAACATGCACTACTGATTTTCAGTGCTGTCTCTATTGCACAAGCTGAAGACGAGTGAGTTGTGATGAACAGATGCCCTTTGTTAGCTTCTTCCTGTGTCTCAAGATACAGGTACGATCAAACATCTTACTTATGCCCTGAATTTATCTCATACTTGCATTATAAGCAGTCTGCATAGTTTGCAAGTACCGAGAGAAACGCTGACAAGTGACAACATAATTCAGGAGTTCTGAGATGCAGTGAGCCTGTATTTCCTTAGTTTACAAGTTTAAGACCACATGGAGGACGTACCTTGTCCCCCTGTTTCTTGTAGTAGCTGAATGTCTTGACCGCCAGGACACACCAGCAGGTCTTGGAGTGTCCGTTCTTGACCTTGGTGAGCCAGGACTGGATGCTAGGCTTGACCTCCTCGCTGCTGCTGCCTTTGTCCATCATGGCCCTGGTGTTGTAGCGGCACAGGACGTTGTTCAAGACTGGAATGCGGAAACCGGGAAGGGCAAGGCTTGGAAAATATTATATGGTTTGCACAATTTGGGTGAGACAAGCAGGATGATCCAATAAGCACACTTGGCAATGTGCCTAGGGCCTACAGAACAATTTGAGCGCCTATGAAAATACCACAGATTGCCAAAAAACTCCAACACCCGGAAATCAATAACCAAGGGATTAAGTTTTAGGGTCTCTCTGATTTTCTACTTATGGAAAGCTAATTAGTATACAGATGATAAAATACTGTATAATAGATGTAGGGAAGCATGTTTTAGGGGTCACCATAGTTTATTTGGCACATCGCCCAACCCGTTGGAAATGTAAAACAAAAGCCCATGAAGAAAGTGCGGTGGGCGTGCGAGTGACATATTCCTTTCCAGTGTGGGCACGACAGAGTGAGTATCTTGGGATTAACCTGTTACCATGAAAACTAGCTTCTTACGTTATATAGCTGATTTGTAGTCTCTTCACCTTCGCAATCTATGATTCCATAGTGTGTGACCCGACTTGGTAAATTTTGGGGTCATAGCAGAAGGCGGAATGAGTGATTTTGGAGTGAAAATTCACTGTCTTGATTGTAAACGTTTCACGTGAAGCGTACATATTGTTCACTGTAAATTGTACTTCAGCTGTTTGTTGGTATGGCGACTTGTATGATTTACACTAGGGTTTCTATCTTTACTCCACACAATATTCATTATTAGATATTGTCTAGAAGGCCAAGTCCACGGTCGCACACTGGCCTGGCATTCGGGGAATTCAAGGGAAATGGAATTTCATGTAAAGAAAATAAAGGAATAACAAGAGATTTAGGTAAATTGTAATTAATTGTAATCAAACCTAGATATTTGAACCCTCAAAAGTTGATGTGCAAAGGAAACTCTGTATAATTGAGACAGTTACATTTGGACCCTTTCTGCCCATCTTCCTTTGCCTTGGCGTCCTTAAACTAACAATTTAAGCGGACCTCCTTAATAGATGGCCTATCACTACATTGTAAAACATAGCACCAATATGAAATAAAATGCTCCAGCACCTGCCAGCACTATCAAATTTAAATTATGCTGGTGCCAGTGACTTGGGTGGAGTAGGCCCCATGACCTGGGGCTTACGGTAGATACCTATAGAGCAGATAATCCATCCCTGGTGAGACAGGCTCTGCACCAGTATCATTTCCTTGAGGACTAGTAGACAAAATCCTCAAGCTACAAGTACATGTACAATCTGGGGGCTTAACCACTTCCCCCTGAAGGATGTGTTATGATGAAGGGATTCCCTATGCTCATCATACGGAGGATGTTTAGACACATCTTGGCCAATTTTCTACACAGTGTCCGGTGACGTGTACACTCATCTCTATCCTTGAGTGATTCCCTTTGAGTTTGTACACGTACATGCACAGAGACTCCAAATAGTCAATGGAGGCTGAGTGTGTGTGCGTGGAGCCCTCAAGTGGCAGTAAACATCTACCGGAAGTAGTGGTAAATATCGCTCCACAATATAATCTCAGAGTCACAAAAACCAATGTCACACAGATCTTCAAAATTATGACCATATGTGGTCAGCATGTGTAAAGTCCAACTCAGCAAAGGACTGTGGCTATGACATCTTGTCTGGCTGAAAATAACGGAGCTCCTGGCACAAATTCGTTCACAGAGTAGTAGAGATGACAAGTGGTTAAACACATGCCCTCCTGCATTTTAGTGCCGATGTCTCACAACACAGCCACTCAGCTTCCACATGTCAGCTAGCAACTTGGAATCTAATATGACAGTGAGAATCACCCTCTGTGACCATTGATAGAAACGAGATGTTCCAAATCAAGATTCTGTGGGTCCAACAAGTGAAGCGTACAACAATTTCCATTCACAAATCAAGTCTCATTTTGAAGGAGTTCTTTCAGATCGACATGTCCATGTAGGGTGGCACGAAACAGGTTCAAGCCCTGCTACAGATATAAGAGAAACGCTCGTTAACATTTCCATACCTGTAATCCACTCTTCCATGACAGCAGAAGACCCTGCAGTTAAGTAGTATGTCCTCTTGGTGGTGACAAGTTCAAATGTCAAGGAGCCCTCTGACCGGGAGATCTTAGTCAATGTGTCCAGGGGTATTCTTCCTCTTGGCTTCCGACTGGATTCATTCTGGAGAGGAGGGAGGGAGGTCAAGGGGAAAATAACAGGATGCAAAGGGAAAAGGTCAACCGGGCCACCTTGTCTGATCAATTTGGTCCAGCTGCAGCTTGACAACTTTGGGATACTGTGCCTGTGACCACAGACCGGGAGAGCATCTGACAGTAAGTACGGTATGTCCAAATTATTTGGCTGTGGCTTGAAATTAAACACAAGTCTGTGGAGAGTGGCTACAACAGGGACCATTGACTTGTATGTAATTTCAATCCGCAGCCAAGTAATTTCGACACTGCCTACATGTAAGTCTCACCCAAAGCTACAAGTGGCTAGGACCTGGGCCCGGTTTCATACAGCTGATAAGCACAGCAGCCGGCATTAAGCATGTTCCTAGCAAAACCTTGGGTTACCAGCCGATATGCTATGATATCTTACAGTGCTTCCGACTGGTTCCTGGTGGAAGTTTTTTGTTTGATCGGCACATAAGCATGCTAAGCAGCATTTTCCGCATAGCAGCTCAGTGAATACAGGCCCTGCTCTTATCTTGAGGTTCCAGAGTAAAAGAATTACAACCCACACCCAAGATATACTGCATGTACAACACTATTTGAATTTTCTTCAGTGGTAAGGATAGGATTTTACATGGGAAAGCAAAGCAGGGCCCTAGAATTTCATGGGGTGGTAGTGAACATGCAGGGATGTGAAGCTACATGTATACAATACTCTCTGCCTATTATAACTGCACGGTATGAGCCACACATGTAAACTAACAACCTAGTGGTCACAGCTATTGTTTCAAGCACACTAATGACAAACTGCAAAAGTTTGAGTCTTTCCTTCTGATATTGAATTTCAATGACACAATATGTGCAGGGCGAAAGGGGTCCATAAACAAACTCCTTAGCGGTGACAGAGACACCAGCACTGAGTAGCAGGGGTTTAGATAATTTTCTTCAAGCCATGAGTACAATACTCACTTCCTTGGTTAGAGCAGAGTACAGTACTCTTTTGCCCTGAGTATTGTTTGGTATTGTACTATTCTTCTTCATGAGAGGGAGAGTATTGTACTCCCTGAGAGGTGGAGGAACTGAGTAGCAACATGATGTGAGTTAGCCCTTTTGCCTTAGTAAATATAGAAATACTTGTTATTTCTCTTGAAAAAAAAAACAAAAAAAACAGGGCTTGGTGATAACCATGAACTCACGTAAGTCCGTATCCCGCCCGTGTACGTAGGCATGTGTGAGGCTACCACGTGGGGACGCCATGTTGACCGGCCACTGTGAGCACACGCCCAGTGGTTGCCAGGACGCCATGTTGACCGGCCACTGTGAGCACACGCCCAGTGGTTGCCATTCAGATAATCATGATCCACTTCATCGCTCGGCAGTCAAATGCGCTCACACTCACAATCTAAACCTCAATCTTTCTAAGGTGTTTCAGACTCAAATTTAAAAAAATGATACCTGGTTTCTTGCCAATGTACCGGAAAGCCTCTAAACATGTTAAAACGCCACTTGAAAAAATGTCTGTGTTTAGCGGAGCAAAACATGCAGAAAACTTCATGTTTTTAAGTGGAGCTTTTGATGAGGAGTTTGGGCATCACAAACCCTATCCATCCATGCAAAAATCGATGAAAATAGTGTGGTCCCCGCATGCTAGAAATCAATTTTACTGCACCGTGTCTTCAGGGAGTCTGGTGACCATGTTTTTGTACACAAAAATGATCCATGTGCACAATGTGTGTGCAGTAGCTCATTTCGGTCTACAACACATTTTGCTTCGGGCCGGGTCCTTCCCGTCGATTCAGATTTTCTGAATAAAAAGCTGTACGCAGAAGAACATGACCAAATTGGTTCAGTAGTGTCCGCTGCCAATGTTACCCTGTTGGGTGGGGTGTAAACAGAAACTTATGGTACTCTTTCTATAGTAGAAATCACTTTGTATTTTACGTTCTGCATGAGGTTTTATGCTGCGTATTTTGACTGAATTTCCAAGTTGGATAGCATATATATGCCAATACGCACGTTATCTAAACCCCTGCAGTAGGCAGTATGCCCGGCAGCATCTTACAGTCTCTCGTGATGAATCAAGGTTTGCTGTCTCTGGCAAACTAGGAAACACCAGAAAGCAGTGATGTCACTGCGCATGCTTTGGGATGCAATGCCGAGCCACAGTCTGAAATGGTTCTCTTACTTTGCAGTGTTTGAATGTGACATTTGTTATGTCACGCCTTGGACAATGTAATTTCACTGTTTCACAACAGTCACAAGTCCTATTTCTATGGATGTAGATGTAGCTTGCACCAATGTGTACATGTACATAATATACACGGTACATTTCCCCTGTGTGCATACTTTTGCAAACATGACTGCACTCAAGTTAGTTGCCAAATGACTTGAAATTTCTCGAGCCTATCCCAAGTAACTACCTCACCAAGCAGTTACTTGGTATCCAAAATTCACCGTTCAAAATTCAAAATCATGGTGGCTTCGTCTTTACACTAATCGAGTAACCAATAGTCCAAGCCATGACTGCGGTTGAACCAGCAGCCAATTTCACAAAACTTTACGCAATGGCGTAACTCCACTTACACCACATTTTATTGCATAAGTTGCGCAACAAATTAAGACTGATTTCACAAAACCCACACACTGAGTAAGTCCGCAACTTATGCAACAAATTATGGCGTAACTTACTTAGTCATTTTAGATGGCGTAAGTTGCGCCAAACGAAGCGAAAATGAATGATTTGACTTGCTTATCGGGTCTGGTTAAGCCTCGTCATTGCTGAAATTATTAAAGATTATACGAGAAATGGGCAACTTTGTTCCAGAAGGTAAAAATAAACTTGTTTGGCTGTGAGAAAACTGCAAAACTTTTTATCCAGTTCCGACGAAAAAAGACGAAAACTTTTTCAAAATTGCGGGTGGATGTGATTCAATGCCTGTTTGATGACTGCTGTTATAAGAACAGCCGTCGTAAAAGCTGTTTTTGTCCTTGTCCAAGAAATTGAATATAATTAAACTGTGGCGCATCTACTCAACATTTCATGAAATTGAACGTTAGCATATTGCGCAGCAACAGCAGGTAAAAATAAACTTGTTTGGCTGTGAGAAAACTGCAAAACTTTTTATCCAGTTCCGACGAAAAAAGACGAAAACTTTTTCAAAATTGCGGGTGGATGTGATTCAATGCCTGTTTGATGACTGCTGTTATAAGAACAGCCATCGTAAAAGCTGTTTTTGTCCTCGTCCAAGAAATTAAATATAATTAAACTGTGGCGCATCTACTCAACATTTCATGAAATTGAACGCTAGCATATCGCGCAGCAACAGCATAAATTTGTGGCACAAGACTTACACAGGGTTCAAAGTTACCCCACATTTCATGAAATCGGCTGCAGGCTTGCATGCTGGTGGTAAATACGCCTTGCAAGCCTCTCCAACCAATGGGGCACTGTGACTTACTGAAGCATACACACTCAAGTTAAATGAATGCGCGCCGGTGTGGTGGCACCATAGTAATGGTGTCTCCTCAGACTGGTCTCCACTAATTCTTATAGGACACTTTGGTTAATAGCCAAGCCATTTCTCATACACGCATTTACACGTACGTACATATTCACCCCCATCATACATGCACACTGCACTTCTGAAGATAAGAATTTGGGCATCATATTTTTCCTGCAGCTTTAGAACATCACGTGTGCTTACACGTATTTTCTAACACAGCAACAATATAGATCACATCCTGTAGTGAACCATGAGAACCTACATGTTCCTCATTTTGAGAAAAGCAACTATATATATATGTAGCAGCACTTCTGACAGATCTGATTTCTAAAGAAATGAAGTCTACCCAATGAGTGCTCAACAACACTTGCACCATCATCCGTCAACAGGTGTCCTTCCCAGCGCTCTGAGCATAGGTTAAAACTGCCACAATAGCACTGTGAACTTTCATCAGATGTGACAACTCCACGGTAAAAATCATCAAAAATGGTGGGGTGCAAGAGTGCAAACACCACATTTTCACACCATGGCAGAAATGAAATGGCTGTGACCATGCCCGGGAAATTGAAATAAACTCTCCAAAACTGGATGCGATGTATTAGCAGCAGTGACTTACCATTGACTTATAGTAGCAGAGTTCACCGTCTCTTAGAACAAACCAACGCCGCTTCCAACTTTTCATCCTCCCCCCAAACTTGGTCAGCCAACCGCTCTTCTCCAGGGGACCCTGTTGGCAAACAGATCAAATTTTACACAACATTTTTCTTCTCTTCTATAAGAATTCGCAGCACTCTTTTTCTTCAGAAGGACCTTGCACAAATTGGAAAATGCATTCAGAAAATTAAAAAGCACCAGTAAATTTCCTTCTTTCTGTCTTAACTGGAAGAAATGCATGAATCCTAATGAAGAGAGTTAGGGTCATTCTCAGCTCACAGCTCTTACATGTACACTGCTTCATTACTGATGCCCAACAGCGATTTGAGCGATTCAATGAATAATTTCCTAGGCAACACTGCGCACCAACCCAAAGCCAATCTGAAACACGCTGAGTGAATTAAAGTGCCGGAAGGGGCCACTGGCTCCCCCGAGAAATCATGCCAGCTTCTCCCCAGCTCAATTTCCCCAAAACTTCCTTGTAAGATCCAGGGGTCTCAAGAAAGCTGGCCCCTTTTTACTGGAAAGCAAAAGGCACGTTTTTGGAAAACAGGACGCTGGAACACGTGGTTCGTGTTTATGATGCCAAAGCTGACAACATTCCACACCCATGAAAAACAAGACAAATGTCAAACGTTTCCACTGTGGGGTAAATCTGTCCAGCGGCGGGATAATTTGAACTTCCTGGACTGGGGGTAAAAGTTTTAACTGCGTCTCTCTGTCAGGAATACTAAATGGGAGGGGGGGATTTAGATCCCCGGCTGGCAAGAAATGCCAGCACTCTGGCCAAATAACCTGCATTTCACAGCCAATTAGTGCAGAGAAAAACATGCAAATAAGTCAAATCTGACAAGTGTATTTATATGTATATGAGTATGCCAAAAAAACACATTGAAAATACACGCGAAGGAATCAGACATCTTAAGATTAGCAGTTCCAACTTAATATAGAGCATTCCGGAACAAACAAGTCAGCATTCAACAGAGCGGACACTTTTAAAAATAATTAGGTGTAGGTTACTGCCGTCACAAAAGCAACCACGACTTCAGCTGTGCTGGCTAATCCAATGAACACAATTAAGAAATCGCGACTAGGGGAGCAGCAGGCTTCCACTCTGGTATTATGCACATTTTATGCTCGTTTGAGTTAAACTGTAAAGGTTGAGAAAATGCACAGTTCCTCAAAACTAAGCAAGGCATAAAGAATAGTAAATCTCATTCTGCCTTCCAACTGTGGTCACAGGAGAGCGAAAACGGACCACTGGGACCTGTTTGTGAGGATTTACATGTACCTTGATTTGCCTTGCCATTTCCAGGACTTTGATAATGACATTATTAAAAAGGACTTAACAAGGACAACACAATTTGGCACAAGCTGCGGCTGGTTTCACGAAACGCTAAGACGCGTCTTAGGAAGGGTAACTCATCCTAAGATGCGTCTCGCCCTAGGATCGATTTCACCAAACTTAGGACACGTTCAACGCATCCTCACTTCCCTAGCAACGCGGCCGAACCTGTCTTAACTTAAGATCAGTATTGGGGCCGTCTTATCTCGATGCAAACCTTTGCATTTTTGTAGAAAACAGCGAAATGGGGCTTATGCTTGTTGCTGATCACCAAGCTCGGCGGGCAATAAGGAGAAAGAGAATATTTAGAGACAGGAGAAATCCACTAAATAGCTTGAATGATGAGGAAGTTTTCCGAAGATATAGGTTCACGCAAGAAGGGATATTTCGAGTTCTGGAAAGAGTAGAAAATGACTTGGAGCCGGACACCCGGGTAAGAAGGCTGTATTGTTGACGTCCTTGACGTGGTGCAGTGCAGCCCCTAACGTGGCGCACTTTCATCTTTCCTATGCAGTGCTTTACAACAGCAACATGTTACCTAAAATTTCCCTACTATTATAACTTCATGAAATTTCCAATCCTCTGATTGATGAAATTCAATTTTACCAAGGCAAACATGCTACACAGTTCCGATCTTTTCCGACAAGCAACCTAAAATCTGAAAAATATTCCCCCAAAGAAAGACACGTAAAAAAATTCCTTACGGACGAGTGGATGGGCATGTGGGTGAAAAAAATGAAAACTGACGGACTTGAATTTCTTAAAGTTTAATGTAGGATCATCTGAGGTTTGCCTGTTGCTCCATTTTAGTCAGATCAGCGGAACTGGAGCCCTATTTTTGTTGCGCCACTTTAGTCAGATCAGCGGAACTGGAGCCCTATTTTTGTTGCGCCACTTTAGTCAGATCAGCGGAACTGGAGCCCTATTTTTGGTGTACCACTTTAGTCAGATCAGCGGAACTGGAGCCCTATTTTTGTTGCGCCCCTTTAGTCGAATCAGCGGAACTGGAGCCCAATTTTTGGTGTACCACTTTGGTTAGATCAGCGGAACTGGAGCCC